GTGAATGAGGCCTGAGCTTGCTGGCCGGCTGCCGCCCGCTTTGCCGAGCGCAGGTGCCTCCTTCTGCTGGAGGGGACAGTGGGCCCGGGGCCCTGAAGCCCGGGCCTGGGCTGCGGCCAGACCCCTCTGGTTCCGGGGAGCGTGCCGAAGCTTGCTGAGCCTGACGGGGTAAGCCCCGTCAGCGCCTGGGTGTCTTCTGTTGCAGGCGGGGCTGCTGCCAGGAGGGAGACGGGGAACTGTCACCTCCGGGAGGTTTTCAAAGAGAGAGGCTGCTGTGGGTGGGGGGAGGGCAGAGTGTGAGGACTTGGAGAGAGGGGCGAGGGGAGGGAGATGAGGGCGGGGCCCTGGCTGTGCACCGTCCAGGGCCTTCCGGTGCCGTTGTCACAAATGACACCTGTCCAAATGTGCTGGTGTTATCTGAGGAGTTGACACAAAGCTGTATTGTCATCATTAAGCTTGAGCCCCACCCCATGAGGGGATCGGAGGGAAGATGAGTGGGTCCAGGAGGCTGGACGGGAGAAGGAATGTGGGAAGCATTTGGGGCATTGGTAGTGTGCATGGGGGACAGTGAGGGGAGTCACAGGCGGAGGACACCCCAGTACACAACTGCGCAGGGGGAGCCGAGAGATTCCCCAAGCTTCTGGGCTGATCGAAAACCAGTCTCAGGGCTCCCGGGGCTCTCTGGGGTGATGTCTGTGGTCCTTTAAACAGTAAGCTCTGAAGCACAAGTGTCAGGACAGAGGCCTAAAGTCCAGGCGTTTCATGGGGTTCCCCACCCAGACTCTTCATCAGTGATCTGTTTCCATCTGCCCAGGGGCACCAGCCCCAGAAGCCTGGGTGTGTGGGTGTGTGCACGTTTGTGCCTGTCTGTCTGTCCATGTTTAAAATGCCGGGGTCTCCATGACAGCTGTGTGCCGAGACACTGAGGCGAGGGTCATGTGACTACTGGCAGAGTCCCCCACGCCCTCCCCGGCCTCTGCCTCCGTGCCCTGCCGCACCCACAGTGGAGTGTCCGGCAGCCCAGGAGAGGAGCATGACATTCTCCCGAGTTCCCAGATGCAACAAACAAATCAAACAGATGCATTCTCTGGCGTCCCAGCGCCTGTAACAAGAGAGGAGGTGGCCCTGGGCTCCCCTTGCCTCCCCTGTTCTCCTGCAGTGCTCCTCAGCCAGCTCTCCCACCTCCCCGGCCTGGAGAGTGACAGTGGCCCGTGGGCCATATGTAGCCCCGGGCACTGACTGCCATCTCTGTCCTGTCTTGGAAGGCTGGGTACCGGCTGGGCTCGGTACAGCTCAGCTCTCGTGCAACTTTGTGCCAATCGTGCTGAGCCCCTGCCCAGGCGAACATCCCAAGGACCAGAAGAGCTTATTATACTGCTCCAGGGGCCTGCTCACCTTGACAGAAATGCTCGCCCTCCAGATGTCCTGGTCGATGGGCTGGGGCCAGCTCGCACTTCCCTTGGATTTGGGCTCCTCACAGACAAGGGGATAGGTGGGCTCAGGTCGGGGGAGGGACCAGGGGTGGGGAGACAGAAGCTGGCATCGGTGAAACAATTCTAGAAGCTGCTAAAGGCAGGGCCACCCTGAATATCCTCAACCTTTCTTCCCCTCTCTTCTCTCCCCCGCCCCCATCAGGGATGCCCAAAGGCAGACAGCCCGGGCTGGACTGACCTAGGGAAATGGGGTCCCAGGCCCACGCTTGGCTTTGACTGGCAGCACCTGCCCCAGCTCCTTATGGGGGGGTCTTCCCCTTCCTGGACGAAGAAGTGACCAGGTCTGAAGGTGACTGAAATGGCCACACAACCAAGAAAAGCCCACCCGCCCCAGCCCAGGATCTTACTGGGGCAACGGTGCGGTTGAGCATGCCTCATTCCATACTCCTCCCTATTTTGACCTTGAACACCAGTGTTCCCACTGGGATGAGCTGAGTGGTTCCATTTACTGTCAAGAGTAGTATTTTCATATTGTCCTCTGTTTTATGCCAAGTATGTGTGTGTTGGACTGTGCAATGGATTTATGTAGCCAACGTGAGTCTGCAAATAAAACTAAGTAACCAGCCCCAGCTGGCCTGTGCTGAAGTCCTTATGGGGAAGGAGGGTCTTCTAACTGCAGGGGGATCTAGAGGGGCCTTGAAACAAACACCCAGTGGAGTTGGGAAGGTCGAGGGATTGACTTTCTCACAGGAAACTCGAACAGAGCAATTAGGGGATTTGCCTCTGATCACCCAGCAGTGTCCGCGAAGGATGGAGCCCTCAAGGGAAGTAGGTCTTCCCTCCCTCCTCTCGAGAGCCATACAGTGTCTTCAGCACTTGCTGCAAATCCACTCTGGGGCTTAACTTGGACACCTCCCCTTTGCAGACAGAGCCCAGCCCTGTGGTTTGGAGAGTATCACTCCTTCTGTCCTTGGACACATGACCCCTTCTACGACCCGCTGAGAGCGGCTCCCCACGGAGAGGGAGGGCTGACCCGACTGTCCACCCCTCACTCGGGAAGATTACAGAGCAGAAAGGCCTGTTGGAGTCATCGCCCCGGGGCTGTCCTCGCTGCTTGGGTTTTGTCTGGGGAGGGCCACAGCTGTTGACCAGGCCTGAGCATCCTCTCAATAGTGGCAGGCTCCGTGTTTATTACTAAGGATTAACTGCATCATATTAAAATATAAATTTAGTTTTAGTCACTTAATCCCTCTCTGGGTCAGATTTCCGGAGTCCTGAAGTGTTTTGGAAGAGTCGATCCTTCTTCCAAAAAGACGGAGGACTTGATTGGGGTTTAAGACTCCTTTCTCTCCTGAGAGAATGGGCGGAGGAAAGGGTCCATCTGGTATGGGCTGAAGGTAGCGGAAGCCATCAGAGTCCTTTCTCACTCACCAGTGCTGCTTAGCAAGAGGAGGCTCATCTTCCTGTTTACACACAGTGGTCTGTGGGGTGGCCAGACAAGAGTGGGAGACATTTTCAGCACAGAATACACCCCCATCTGCTGCTTTCCTCTGCCTGGTACGACCAAGGGAGAGCCAGAATCTGGCCCTCTTTACCCAATGCTTTTTAGAAAAAGCTGCGTCTTGCAGTTGGTGACCCTGCAATCTCCAGGGCTTCTGTCTGGCAAGACAACCGTCTCTGATGACAATCTCTCTGGGGTCACAATGGTGCCCAGTGCTCTGGGGGAATGGTGGGATTTCAAGTCCATTTGCTTTCATTCAACAACTATTGAATTAAACTAATCTCATAGAGGGACACTATGAGATTAGACCTGAGATATCAGTGCTGGAATGTACCGATGAATTATTCCATGTATATCCCCCAAAATGATGGTCCAGTTTTTCAACAACCATCGCCAATGACACTAATTTGCTACGACCCAAGACAAGTCATTACAAGGTTAGGAAGAACCACTTTTCCCACTGGCCTTAGTTCTGGCCTCTGGAGCCATGTGTCCGGGCGCTGTGTTAAGCCTCCCAAGCTTGTATAAGACAAGGCTGGATTATAAAGCAGTTTATACCCGCCAAGTCACAGTGTTTTAAAACAAAAGTTTATCTCCTGTTCATACAAAGTCATGAGCGGCTGCTTTCTGACAAGTCTTTTCCCCAGTAATGGTAGTGATTCAAGATCCTTCTATCAAGAAGTTCCATGGTCTTGGGGGGTCCTCCCTTTTATCCACACAGATAGGGGGAAGCTGCACAAATAGAATCTCACAGGGGGTTTATGACCAAGTCTGGAAGCTGTAGATATTTCTGCTGCTTACATTTCATTGGCCAGATCCCAGTCCCAATGCCCCAACCTAATGGCAAAGGAGGCTGGGAAGTGTAGTTTTCCTATGTATGCATGAAAAGGAAGCAGAACTGGTGACCCGTCTCTGCCAGCTCTTCAAGCCACCTCCACTTAACACGTTTTAAACACTCACTTCCCTTTACCTCATCTGAACAAAACCCACTCCTTCCAATGTGATGCTTGGATCGGAAGTGAGACTAAGTCTGTCTGGCCTGCACCAAGGAGAAGGGGACCATGTGTTTACTTCACTGTGCTTCCATGGATGCACTGGCTTTCTAGCTGGCACATCACACCGTTGACATAGATTAGTTTAGGCAAACCACGGTTAAGCCACATCTTCTCCAGCCCACCTAGAGCCGTGGTCTTTTGGATCTGAGAGTTTGACCTCATTGTGGAGCCAGAGGAACCCACATGGAAAGGGTAGAAAGTAGGAGAATGTGTGGTCTGGTCTAAGGCAGGGCTGGTGGTCAGCAGGGCCTGTGAAGTGAGAGGCAGGGAATGACCTCAGAGGAGTACCTGGCCCAGCTGAGTGCTGTCCACTTGGCCAGAGGACAGCCAGGGGACTAAGGAGCCCCTGACCCCCTTCGCTGGTTTGCTTGCCTTTGAGTCCCACCTGCAGGGGCTGTGGGGCATGCACACCTTGATGTGCCTGTTCTTGAACACCCACAGAGCATCCCAGACACTGTCAACCAGGATCTCACTCAACCCAGCATTCCTGGAAATGCCCAGGGATGCTCACATGCCCCATGAGTCTATCCTGGTGGATGCCGAGCCCATTTCCAACCCTATCATGCAAGGACAAGGTTACCGCTTGTCCCCTGTAACCAGCTTCTCCAGGTGGCAGCCACGCCACTCCACACATGGACACAGTCCTTTCCCCAAAGCACAGCCAAGACCAGGATAAAACTGAACAAAACTTTACTAAAGACCTGAGCAGAAATCCTATTGTGGAAAAGCGTTAAAACTGGGTCCTAGAACTCAGGGCTGCAGTGGTGTATGGACTGGACCCTGCTAAGGCGTCTTTCCTGGCCTTCCCTTACACCTTGGCCCCTGCTGCAGGGCCACGGGCCTGCCTCTCTCTGCCGGGGGCCTTTAGATACTTCACTCCAGAGCTAAGACCCTTACTCTCTGGCTTCTCTGGGCTCCACCTGGGCCTCAGCCTTTTCCCCAAACAACTTAATCATCTCCCCATAAACTTCTTCCCACAGCAAAGACAGCCTATTACGTGGTTACGTCTCAAGCTTCCCCGTGCTGGCACAGAACTCTGCTGTTACTATTGCGAAACCGAAGGCATGCTAGTGTCTCCCCGGAAGATGAGTCGGGTGAGTGCCAGCAGCTTCACCGGAGTGATGGTTTCTCTCTTCTAACCATCAAGGTTTCAAAAACGCCAGGGTGCAATCTCATCAGAGCCTCCCGTTACGGAGCCCTGCAGTCTCAAATCAGGGGCAAAAACTGTAATCGGAGGAGACCTGGCAGTGAAGCTTACAGCTGAGGTGGGTCCCGGCAGCTGTGCTCCGTCGCAGATGAAGGGAGTGTGAGCTCATTACGACGGGCGCACCAGCCCTGATGCCACACCAGCAGGAGCACAGATTACAGATGGGGACGCCCCACCAGAATGACACAGGGAAGTCTGGACAATCCCCACCCCCAGCTATGTCTGGCCCGGGCCTCCGCCACGCCCCTGTGGGGAGCAGGGGAGTTAACCCCAGATCACTTACTACGCGCTTAGGCTTTGCTGCTGAGTATACAACTCGAGGTAGTTTCTATAGCGTGTGTTCCATACTTTACAGTGAATGGCCCCTTAAAGAATCAAGAAAATAAAACTGAGCAGGCTCAGTGAGCCTCTGGGGCCCTAGCTGGGAAGCAGGACCCCGTCTGGATGAGCCAGCGGATGCTACTGGACTGGTCCAATATGTGTGTGTAATGGGATGTGGTCAGTGACTCCGCTTCTGATTTTGTTGGGAAATATGCAGTGGGAGATTGTGAAGGAGATCGGGACAAGCTGGCTAGAGATTTCCAGGAGGCTTCTGCGAGTGACTTATGTCCCAGGCAGTCCTGACCCAGCCCTAGGCTCCAGGAGTGTGGCTGCCCCCTGAGCAGGGAGGGCAAAGTTTCCGGCTCCAGGCTGGGGGTGGGGGGAGCAGATGAGGACCTGGAAGAGGTGTCAGGCTCCAAGGTGGGGGTTCAGGAGGTGTGGGGGTGAAAAGAAGTGAGGGGCAGGGGGAGGTGATGGTGACAAATGTAAGGTTGAGGGATCTTTTGCCTAAGTAAACAAAATGCTGTTTGAAAAAGAGCGTTTCAAAGGTATATATGTTCTGTTGGTTGTGGTGGTGAGTAAACCTTTAGTAAAGTCCCAGAGTTTCAGAAATATACACATCACATTTGTGCATTTTACTATTTCATAATTACCAGGGAGGTTGTTAGGGCCCTGGGGATGACTCCTTCTTGGTCTGCCTGGTACTTGATTGGTCACTGGTGTCGCAGGAAGTGACTGGTCAGGAGGCTCTCAGAGCAGACCACGTGTGTGGCCTGAAGAAGCTGGGGTGAAGGAGGGTTGAAATCAATGCCTCTGGCACCTCACAAATGAAAGCAAACACTGGGAAGCCCAGAGGAAGGGTTCTGTGGTCCCCCTGCACTAACCCCGCCCAGGAGGTGGCAGGCAGTGTCCCAGCCCAGCTCCCCCAGGCTCGTGCTTATTTGTGAGGCTGTTCTAGAAAGAAGCTGGGCCCTCGGGGACTCCTCCCCAGATCCAGACGTGGCCTCTAGTACATACTCCACACGCATGTGACTTGTGTGGTCACACGCGCACCGTGGTGACGTCCAGCAGCTTCTGGATCATCTCGGCGTGGGTGCCGTGGAAGGGCAGCCCGTCCACCTCCATGCCCACGTTGCCTGAGACGCCACTCCGGACTCTGTGCTGCACCAGGATGCTCAACATTTTTTCTTCCTGGAACCAAATGAAGCAGAGACAGAAGTAGCGAAGGGGGAGGGAAAAAGAAATACATATACACACATAAGTGGAGAAGAGCATTGGACTTGACATGGCCTCTTTTTCACAATGACATTTTGGTTAAAAATACTAATGCCACTGGAAGACTCACAGTGAAAAACAGTCGTGCTTCGAACCCACTCCCCAGAAGCAGCCAGTGACCAGTTTGGGCTGTTTCTTCTGCTAGTTACCTTCATGTAACCAAATAATGTGCTTTTTATGGAAACCTACTTTCTCTTAGCAAACACTAAAGATTCACTCCTTCTGCAGGTGCAACATAGGCTGCTTCCTGCCAACCTCACCCCGCCCAGCTCTGGATCACCTGCCATTGGTCTTTGTGCCAGGAAGGCCCCCATTCCTCCTGAGACCCCACTGTTAGCCTCCTGTGGGCACGTGCCAAGTCCTGCTGCTGTCACCTTCTAGATATTCCTTGCTGTGCATGTGGAAGCTTCTGGAAGAAGCTGGGCCCAGTAGGCAGAATGGTTGGGGATCAGACAGATCTGACTCGGGTCTTTCCTGGTAGGTGTTTTAACCTCTCTGTGCCTCAGTGTCCTCATCTGTATAATGGGGAGGTTGATGATGATGATAATGCCACCTTTAGAGGGTTGTTATGAGGATTAAGTGAGATATGCAAATAAAGCACCTAGTATGGTCCTTGGCACATAGTAGGTGCTCACGAAATGAGGCGGATTATTATTGGCAGGGCTGGGTCCCTAGCCTTTAGCCCAGAGCTGTCTTAAGTGATGTGATTCCCCTCCTTCTCTTTCCCTCCACTTGTCTAAGCCATGAATATGTCTGTCCCAGCTGAATAGCTCTGGTCTGGGGAAGGTGGCTCTTAGGTCAAGATGAGAGGAGAGAGGATTGTGCCTGCGGGGAGAAGTCAAACACATCCTCCTCTCCTCTTTACGAAATGAGGAGGGGACCAAGGACTTGGGAACAGGAAGACTGACAGATCTGAGAAGGGCTCCCACCTTCCCACTCAGGCATTGCTAATTCATTCTGTCACCCACTGAATTTTTATTGAGCACCTGCTATGTACCAGGCCCTGAATCGGTGATATAGTGGTGAATGACATGGTCCCTGCCCCCGGGGGGTCACAGTCTAGATGGGTGCCCAGGCAGGCACAGTCCATGGGGATCACAGCACAGAGCAGGGCACCCAGCCCCGTTTACTGGAGCGACTCAAGGAAGACTTTCAGGAGGAGGGGCAGATAGAACCACAGGTGACAAAAGAGCAGAAATGAGCCAGACAAGGGGCTATGAGGAGCACTAGCTGAAAACGTTTCAAAACAATGGAGAAAGCGTTGGCAAATGTCACCGGGAACTGTCTCTGTTCTCAGCTGGCCTGACAGCCTGAACTTCCGCTCTGCCTGGGCCTGTAGAAGGGAGACTTGAGAGTATTTGTCCAACAGCCCCTCCCAGGGGCCACTCAACCCAGGGTGGCACTTCCCGCCCTTTGTTTGGGCTTTATTTTCCCATTTATCTTCTCCATTGGGTCATATCCTCTCTTTATGGGGGAATGCTTCTGGAACCATCTGGCCATTTCCTCTCAGCACACTGCCTGCTCCCACCATTCGTATCCTTGAATCCCAGGGAGGACCTTGTGGTCCTCAGGGTGCATGTGATCAGTCAACAGGAACTGGCTGGCACGTAGCCTGTAAGAGCCCCCCGGGATCAGCTGGACCAACAGTGGCTGCGTGCAAATTTCCCAGGAACCACGTCTTCCAGGAGGCCTCTCCGAGGAGAGGGTGGCGGGGAAGAGAAGCGACGAGGAGGGGCGCAGGCAGAGCCCTGGAGGCCGCTGCGCCGGTCCAGGCTGAGGCAGGGAGCAGGAGCGGAGGGACAGCACAGAAGTGAGGCAGAGTGGGCAGGGCGGGGGCCTTGCTCATTGCGGATGGGGACAGAGGCCCAGGATGACTTCTGGGCCTAGAGGCTGAGTGAATGGCCGGTCACCATTGAGTCACAGTGGGAGCATGGTGGGCTGATATTCTGGTTGGGTAATGTTGCCGTGCGAAGTGGGGTGGGAGAAAGGGGCCTCCTGGGAAGTTGGAACCTTTCTATATGTGATCTTAGTGATGGCTACACTGGCATGTATATATCTATATATCTATATATCTATATATCTATATATCTATATCTATATCTATCTATACCTATATCTATATCTATCTATATCTATATAAAAATTCATTCACTGTACACTTAAGGTTTCAGCGGTTTATGTCATACCTCATAAAAAGTTATAAAAAAAGTGGAGTGAGATGAAAGTGCTGGAAGAGAATGGGAGCCCAGGATAAGGCCAGAGGCCATGTTCCCGTCTTTCAGTATCATTCACCCATCCATTATCCACTCATCCATCAGTCTATTCATGCACCCATCCATCCAGCTAGCCAGCCAGCCAGCAGTCCATTCATCCATTTAGCCATCCGTCCATTTGTCCATCCATCCATCCATCCATCCATCCATCCATCCATCCATCCATCCTTCCTTCCTTCCTTCCACCCATCCTTCCATCCATCCATCTGTCCATCCATCCATCTTTCTGCCCATCCATCCATCTATCCATCCATCTATCCATCCATCTATCCATCTATCCATCCATCCATCCACCTACCCACCCACCCTTAGTCCCTCCTGTAAGGTGCTCTCAGTTGGCTCTCGGAACCTGAGAAGGTCTGGGGGATGCTCTCCAGCCCTTTGTTCTGCTCTCAAGTAAAACCCCAGGGTGTGACCAAAGGCCAGAGTGAGCAGGGTGTGGCTCCCTGGGCTCCTCAGCATGGTGCCCGCTCCTGCTACCATTCTGATCAGACTGCTAAGAACTGTCCCTAAATATGGGAGGCGCTACTTACAAGCAACTCACAGAGCAGAGATGAGGGATGTCCCTCTGCCCCTAACCAATCAAGCCTCACCACCATCTCAGCCACAGCTCTGCCAGTGTCTCCTAATGACTCAGTGACTCCACACAGTGACCCACTGAGCTCTAGTATGGCCATTCTAGTTATTCTCCTGAACACCACACCACCTCATGTCCCTGCACCTTCCTGCCGCCTGGAAGGCCCTTCCCTCCTTCCTTGCCTGGCTACATATATCCTGCTCACCCCCTAAGACTCAGCTGAGTGCCAATCCTCCAGGGAACCTTCCTTGAGCTCTCTGAATGAGCTAAATGCCCATTTTCTGTGTCCCCACAGCAGCTTGCCATGCCCACTTCCATCCTGGTTCTTTTCATGTGCAAGATTTCTTCCCTGTGGATCCTGAGTTCCCTACCCAGGAGCCAGGTTAGACCCCTCACTGTCTCCCAGAGCAAGCTTGGGCCTGACCCAGAGGAAGGGTTCAACAAACATATGTTTGCACTTTTGCTTTAAAAATGTTCTTTTTTATTTACTTTATAAGGGTGGCACATCATTAATATTTTGTGAAGGACTGGGTGGAAACCCAAAAGGATTTTCCATGCCTGGGTTGTGCTTGAGCTGTGTGAGTGTGTTTGGCTGGGTTCATTCTCTTATGTCTGTGTGAATCAGGAATCATGTGTAAGGCAGCTCCCTGAGTGGTTTTTTTTTTCCAATTCAGATCCAGGAAGTGCAAAGACCACTTCCCCAGAAAATGTCACTTCAGCTGCGAGCCCTCCTCCATGGCAGCCTGGCATTGCCAGGAACTGGGAGACTTCTGAGTCATGTGGGGAGACGCCCAGAGTATAGAGTTGGAGACCCAGACTCAGATCTCAGCTCTGCCTCTTAGCTGGGTGGTGCCAGGCAAGTCGCCTCCCCTCTTGGGGCCTCAGCTCCCTCATTTGTAAAATAGAGACACCACCAATCCAAGGAGGTGTTGTAGAGAGACGGGGGTGGGGGATTTGTGCATAAGGGAGAAATAGAGGGAGAGACAGGCAGAAGGAAAAAGGGGTTAGAATGGGTACAAGGCAATGTAAACAAAAAAATAATAAGACAGAAAAGGGGCAGGAGGGGCTCTGGATCCTGCCCCATCTCAGCTGCTGCCTCTAGGCTGGATGCTCAGGAACCTTCCTGCCTCCTGGATTGCCTTCCCCAGACCAACCCTCATCCAAGATGCTGGAAACCAACCCTCTTCTATTACAGGGTTTCAAAGTGTGGTCCCTGCAGCAGCTGCAGCAACATTACCAGTAAACTTGTTAGAGACACAGATGCTCCAGCCCACCTCAGACCTGCTGAATCAGGAACCTTGGGCAGGGCCCCATACTCTGTGGTTTAAAATGCCAGTGAGGTGATTCTGATGCCGCTAAAGTTTGAGAACCGCTGCTCTAATAAAGCACCACTTTCATTCATTTACTTATCCATCCATCCATCCATCCATCCATCCATCCATCCATCCATCCATCCACCCATCCATCCACCCATCCATTCACNCAGTAAACTTGTTAGAGACACAGATGCTCCAGCCCACCTCAGACCTGCTGAATCAGGAACCTTGGGCAGGGCCCCATACTCTGTGGTTTAAAATGCCAGTGAGGTGATTCTGATGTCTCTAAAGTTTGAGAACCGCTGCTCTAATAAAGCACCACTTTCATTCATTTACTTATCCATCCATCCACCCACCCAGCCACCCAGCCACCCAGCCACCCAGCCAGCGACCCAGCCACCCATTTATCTATCCAACAAGGATTTACCCAGTGCTGAGATTCTGTCTGCTGATTATTGGGAAAGCAGACACAAGAGACCTGGTTCCTGACTTCCAGAAGGTTTGGTTTTTTTAACATGTAGTAATCTATGCCTTTTGGGGGACAAGACTGGGACTGATCCAGCTAACATGATCTCCCTCTGCCCAGGGGCTCTTAATGACCCCACACTACTGGGAGAATCCGATGAAAGCACAGATCCTTGCTCAGAAAAACCCACGTATGGAACAATTTTGCAAAGTGTTTCAAAGAACTCATGAACCCTGCTTTGTGGACCCTGGGATGAGGAGCCCTCCTCTACCCCAGCGTGACCCCTGCCGACCACCTGCCGCCTCGAGAGCAGCCTCCCCACACCAGCGCTGAGCTGGTCATCTCCCAGCTTTCTGTTCCCACCACGCCTCCTTTCCAGAATGCCTGCCCTTCTACTGGGTTTATTCCTCCCAACCTCCAGCCCCCAGGATCCTCCTCCCACCCCAGTTCCCCCACCTTAGCACTCTGTGGGATGTCCCATCCCCCCTGAGATCTCAGTGCTCTACCTGGATTGTAAACTCCTTGGAAAGGGCCAATGAAGAAACCGCAGCTGCAGGCCACCCATTTTATTGTGCTTTGCCTTATTGCACCTCACAGATACTGTGTCTTAAAAAATCTGAAGGCAAGACTCTCCACCAACTAAAAGATTACGACTCACTGTGTGCGACACGCGTGTTACTGCGGTGGTCTGGAACCGAACCCACAATAACTCCAAGGTCTGCCTGTACATGCAGTTCTTCCAACCATGCTGCTGGCCCCCATTTTACAGACAAAGGAAATGAGGCTCAGAGAGGTTAAACAACTTGCCTAAAGTCAAACTAGAAGGGAAATGGTCATTGATACCAGGTCTTCCATAATAATTTAGGATCATGAGAAGGTCAAAGGTCACCCAATCCAGTCCAGCTGGGACACCTGGCTGGCTCTGCCTCTCGCACTGAGGGGCAGCAGTGGTGCTGGCCTGTGGCTTATGGCTCGGAGTACCAGGCCCACCCCTCACCCAGGGAAAACGTAGCTTCCATGGAGTGGCCTGTGGGGGCCTGTTACCTTGCTGATGGATGGGAGTGCCTCAGTCCAGTTCTGTTCCCCAGGTGCTCTGGAGGGCCCAGTTGCCTTCCTCAGGTAACGTCCATGGACCTCGCACGAGTTCAGGATGTACAGAGCACAGGCCAAGGCATAGCCTCCCCAGTTAGAGACACCTAGGACAAAAAAAGATTTCAACACAGAATTGGGAAGGTCACGTGGCCCATCACCCTGCCTCTCAGCTCAGAACTCGTCTCAAGAATGGTCCTAAGACCAGTGACACCAGTAGTACCTGGGACTTGTTGGAAACACAAATTCTTGGGCTTGTAGCCCAGTTCTGCTTAATCAGAAACTCAGCCCGGGAGTGGGGGGCATGCCAAGTTTCAATAAGCCCTCTGGGGGACTCTGATTCACCTTCAAGTTTGAGGAGCATTGCTCAGTCTAAACCATCCGGGTTACATACTGTTAAGGACCATCAGAGCAAAAGATGCAGCTACAGCCCAAGGCAGCCATTCCAGAGCCCTGGCCCTGGCACCTCAGGCTGCTGGGAAGCCTGTCCTCAGAGGGGAGGCCCCAGCCCCCTCGGGCTGTGACCATCAGCTCTTCCTGCGCCTGAGGACGGCTCCCCATCAGCCTCACCTCCTCCTGCTCTGGGGCGACCTCGCCGGATCTCCCCTGACACCTGCTTGGGTTAGCTCTCCGCGCGGCCAAAGAAGGGGTGATCGGGGACCTGCGAGGCTCTAGGTGCTAGACGGTCAAAACAGAAAGGAGAGCCCCGGCCCGGGAGAGCGAGGGGCTGTGCGCACAGCCCGGCATGGGGTGGCGCGAATAATGAAAGAGACGTTCACAAAGGGCTGTGGGAGCATCAAGGATTCCGGCCGCCCGGCCCAGGGCTTCACAGAGGTGTCCGCCAACCCTCACGGAGATCCCCCGATATGGGTGGGGACAGCAAGGCTTGGAAGGAAGAGCTGCCATCGGCCTGGCTGATTCCAGAGCCTTGATCTTTCTCGGCTACACTGAGCTGGAGGGACAGACACAGTTCTCTGTCTTCAGGTCCTGGTGGCCCTCAACTCTAACTGGAGGGGCCCTGTTCATCTCCCTCAGCCCCAAACCCCCAGGTTTTCATTCCAAATAATATGCCCTCTTCCCCACTGTCATGTGGGGTCCCCATCTCTCTTTAGGGGACCCAGCCTGTTGCTGAAGTCACCGCATCAGGCCAAGCCCATGGGGTTTGACCAGTTATACAAAGAACCTACATTCTGGGTGGCAGATAAACTTGAGGAAATCTGAAGACTTCCAAAGAAATTCTCCCGAAGCTCCCTTCCCTTCAGATCCAAGACCCCAAAATAAAGGAGACGGGCAGATAATCTTCCCCCTCTTCCTGGTGTCCCAGCCGCAAAGCGAATCCGGAGTGGAGACCAGAGACATAGGGCGTGGGCATCTTTTCAGATGCCTACCTGCTGTCTCTGTATCTTCTTCGTGAGGTGTCTGTTTCAGGACTTTTGTTAATTTTTAAATTGGGCTGTTTGTTTTCTTATTGCGGAGTTTTAAGAGTTCTTTGTATTTTTTGGATAACAAGCTTCTGGCTGGACAGCCAGGCCCCACTGGCTGGCCCTCTAATCACTCACCGGCGATGACAGCAAAGTCAGCCTCCACGTCACAGGCGATGACATCCCCGTTTCGTATGTGGCTCTTCACGGCCTCCTTGACCTTGCCCATCCCAAGCTCATTGCCTCCATCACCGACACCTGGAGGGAAGACAAGCAGTCAGTATACAGACCAAATGGGGGGCTTGTGGGGTGGGGCAGGGCCACCCTTCCACACGTGCTCGCTGCCTCTGGGAAGGGAAAAGGGTTGGCTCTGGATATATTTTCAGACAACCAGGAGATGTTGTACTTCTCCTTTGGGTATTCTAGAAACTTCTCTAGTTAAAAATGAGTCAAAGTTTGGAACTGACCGGAGTGTGGCTATGTCCCCTACTGGGTCATGTTCTCTAGTCACGAATGGAGCACCCCCTTTGTTGAACAGGGTGAGGGACTTCCTCTCCCTTCTTCAGGGGCTCTTGCTCAGGGAGGGGCCACAAGTCCCTGAGCCTCATCAGTGTGACCAGATGGCATTCCATTGGCAGAAGTGAACTAGTATAGATTTCTGAAGTTAATTCTGTGATTTGCTTTCAAGGCTTCTGTATAAAGAGTATGAAATGTATGTGTGTCAGTTCATTTTCATCTACACCAACCAGAGGGGCGCCTGGTTAACACCTGGAGCCACCTAAGCAGGAATACAAGCCCAGGCGTTGTTGGCCAGCATTTGAAAGAGACCACGGTCTAAAGGCCAATCTGTGCATCAGCACCTGAGGATTTGTTGATTAGCATAATAAATTTTAGAATACATATGTTTGAATAGAGAGATGTTAGAAATTATGTAATCCATTGGTGGAAGTAATAGTGTTGAAAATAGGTGAATTGGCCAGAAAAGAATTAGCAGGCCCCTCCAGCCTTGCAGGAACAAGATGGAAACACCTAACCAGCCCTCAGCCTGTGTCCTTTGAGGTGCTGCTCTAGCAACACTGTGTGGTCTCCTGTGTCAGGTATTCCTGGGGGACTCTGTAGACTGGCAGTCAGCTGAGTCTGCCTGCAGAAGACGGCTGTGGTTGCCTCAAGATAACTGTTTGCCCAAGTGCTTGTCCAGGTGCCTCCAGAGCAGAGCTGGGCCTCCCGAGCCTACAGGCCATGCGTCACTTAACAAGGACACGTTCGGAGAAATGCGAACATCAGAGCGCAGCTGCCCAAACCCAGATGGGACACCTACCGCACCCCTCGGCTGCGCGGTCCAGCCTGTTGCTGCTGGGCTACAAACCCGGGTAGCGTGCTGATGTCCTGAACAGCAGGCAACTGTAACACAGTGGTGTTTGTGTATGTAAACAGAGAAAAGGTGCAGTAAAAATATAAAAGAGAAAAAATGGTGCGGCTGTGTGGGGCCTGACCATGAATGGAGCCTGCAGGAGTGGGGAGTGAGCGGCGAGTGGAGGCCTAGGCTATTACTGCAGGTTACTGTAGACTCTATAAACCCCGGACACTTAGGCTACACTAAGTTTATAAATAGTTTTCTCTGTTCAATAATAAATTTACCTTAGCTTATTGTAACTTTTTTTCATTACAAAGTTTAAAAATTGTTTAACTTTTTGACTCTTCCGTAATAATACTTAGCTTAAAACACAAACACATTGTACAGCTATACAAAAATATTTTTTCTTTATATCCTTATTGTATAAGCTTTTTTCTAGTTTTAGTTTTTTAATTATTATTATTTTTTACTTTTTAAACTTTGTTAAAAACCAAGACACAAACGCACACATCAGCCTCGGCCTACGCAGGTCAGGGCCTCGGTATCACCGTCTCCCACTCCACACCCCGGCCCCCTGGAGGGTCTTCGGGGGCACTAACACGCACGGGGCTGCCATCTCCTTTGATAACAAGGCCTCCTGCTGGAATAGCCTCCCGGTGGACCTGCCTGAGGCTCTTCTTGAGGGTTCGCTGTTTTCTGACACATGTTCCTGGTGGTTCGCTTGGTGTGTTTCTTTTTTCCATCGTAGGCTGGCTTGTAAGCGCATAATGCAGCGTGAAGGGCCCGCTCTCCCAGTGAAAGCCTTTCAGTGCTGGGGTCCGTGTCTGCAAACGTTTTAGGAGCTCGCTGAGGTCTGCAAGAGCTTCTGCCAAGCCCTCCCTGTGCAGCTCCTTGGGGGTTCGTCTCCGTCCGCAGTTTCCTTTCCTCTTGCCTCTTCAGCAACGTGCTCTTGTTCCAGTCCCAACCCTCCGCACGGGTCAGCTCCTCGGGAGCCACCTCCAGGAGCTCCTCGGTGTCATTGTCACCCGCAGCCGGGTTAGAGTTGGTGGCCACCTCAGCCACAGCCTTGGTGATTCCTGCAACCTCCTCAGCCTTGGCAAAGCCTTTGACGTCACGGACAAACCCCGAGTGTCTTCTTCCAGGTGCCATTCATACGCTCCTCGGCGACGTCGGCCCAGCCCAAGCAGGGCCCCGGGTGTGGAGACAGCTCTGTGATCCTCGTAGCATCGGATTCCTCTCAGTCTCCCTCAGCTACAGCAACAGCCTGGGCAAAGGTCCTCCTCGGGCAGGAGGTCTTAAAAGCTGCTACAATTCCCCCGTCTGTTGTTTGGGACAAAGAGGTGGTGTTTGGAGGGAGAAACACTCCTTTGGTACTGGGATGAAGACCACCAATAAAAGGAGGATGTCTGGGAGCGTTGTTAACAATAAGGAAAATCTTGAAAGGTATGTTAATCTCCAAACATCTCTCTCCATTGTGCTGACATAGCAACTCAGGAGGGCATCCTGGAAGCGGCGCTGGGTTATCCATGCCTTCCTTTTGGTCTTGTAGTACACGGGCAATGTGTGCTTACTGATGTGCTTGAAGGCCCTGGGGTTCTCACTGTGCCAGATGAAAGGGGCTCAGTTTGCAGCCTGCAACACTGCCCCAAGCAAGACTGTTATCCTGTCCTTAGAAGCCTTGAAACCTGGCACCGATTGGCCTCCTCATGGATGGAAGTCCTTTTAGGCATCCATTTCTAGGATAGGGAGGTTTCATCTATATTGTTTTCTCTGGCAAGTAATTTTCCTCCATAGTCAGCTTATCTAGAGTTTCCAAAAATTCTCCAGGTGCCTTCACATCAGCACCAGCAGACTCACCACTCGCTTTCACATTTTGTAATAATAATGATTCTTTTTAAAAAATGTTTTTATTTATTTTAGAGAGATAGGAAGGAAAAGAGAGAGAGAGAGAGAGACATCCATGTGAGAGAGAAACATCGATCAGTTGCCTCCCGTATGACTAGGGACCAAACCCGCGACCTGGGCATGTGCCCTGACTGGGAATCGAACCAGCGACCTTTGGGTGCATGGGACAATACCTCAGCCAACTGGCCCACGCCAGCCAGGGCTGAATAATGATTCCTGAGCTGTTTAAGTCACCTAGAGCTAGCAGTTAATTCATTGTAGCCAGGTCCAGCCTTTTCTTTCAACATTGCAAATAAACTTTTTGTTTTGGTCATGCTGCTGAGAGGGACACGCTTCTGTGTCTGGTCTTCAATCCAGGCCATTAGAAGTTTCTGCATGTCTGATATGGGCCCTTCTCAAATTTTCATTGGTCTCGTTGCTTTCAGTGAAGCAGACCCTTTACTAACTTCCATTACTTCGTTCGTGTTCCCCAAGATCGCGGCTGTGGTGGGATGGGACACGCCTGACGGGTGAGCAGCAACTGTCACTGATTCTTCACCGTCCTAGTCCTCAATCGCTTCTAATTTCATTTCCAGGTCAATCACTCCATGTGGCCTCTTACTGACAACATTAACAGTGATTTTTGTACACTTAGGGGCCAAGATGAACAAAACGCAAGATTAAATCAAGCACAGAAGATAATGCAATTAGGAGACTCGGTAAACATGAGATGTATGAGGCTGCTGCCAGCTGAACGTCGCGTACTGCTTCACAGCGATCTTTTTATATGCATGTTGAAAGAGTACACTCTAAAACGGGTGGGGAACGTCTGCCTGCGGGCCATGTACAGCCTGCTAACTCATTTGGTCTGGCCCTGCCAAGGCAACCGTAGGCCGGACTCGAAATTCAACAAATCTAGGAGGTTTTTTTCATAGCTAATTTTTAAGTTGATGATTTTGTATGGCCCATGAATGATGTTATAAATAACCACATGGCCCTTGGCAGAAAAAAGGTTCCCCATCCCTGCCTTAAAAGTACAACAGAAATATAGCATAGTAAATGCATAAACCAATAACACAGTCATTTATTATCATTAACAACTATTACGTACTGTATGTAATTGTATGTGCTATACTTTCACGCTCCAGCGGTGCTGTAGGTGTGTTTACATCAGCATCTCTACAGACACGCGAGGAACGCAATGCTCTGTGACATTAGGAGAGCTACGATGTCACCAGGCGACAGGAATCTTTCAGCTCCATTATCATCTTACCTGACCACCACTGTAGATGTGGTCCATGTGGACTGATACATCATATGCCTTGCATGATTGTCTGACAGTTTCTGCGTGTTTCTACAAAGGCTTGGGATAGGAGAGAGCTTCCACCAGAGGTTAGCATTCATTGTGAGATGGTGGAGAGGGGAAGTAGAGGTGACTCACCTTGAGCACAGAGACCTGGACTCAGCGAAAAGAATCTGGACCATTGTGAATGACCAAATTCCTTTGGACCACACCCTGAGGGTTTTTCTCAGAACTGTTTCCCAGATCCGAGACAGCCCGTTGCATGAGGGAAAATGGTAACACCACCTAGCATCGGGATCTTGTCTATTTCTGTCTCTGCTCTTGAGCATTTTATGAATTCCATCCCGTTCACTCCTTGAGTCAGTCCTGTCTGTGGCCTTGTTTTCCTGACCGAGCTCGTTGAGATTCTGAGGGGGGCAGGACTCGGGTAGTGAGTGAAAGGTAGGTGTCTTGGTTCTCATTTGAGTGCTAAGTGCACGACAAGGCAGCTGTCTGGGGAAACTGAGGAACAGGGTGTTGACGTAGCAGAGGAGAGAAAGGACAATCAGGGAGTGACCCTGCTGGGCAGGGTGCCTTCAGAAACCACAGGAGGGGCTTAAGCCCCTGAGGCCAAGAGAAGCATCCAGAGGTCCACAAAGGGGGCAGTTTGAAGGTGCAACAGTCAGTTCCCCCTGCTTATTCTGGGGTTTCAGGGGGCACCACTGGGGGGTCAGAACAGATTGGGGGTCTCCTTTCAGTGGGGAACAGCAGCTCCCTTGGACCCTGGTTGCTCCTCTGGACTCAGAGACCCTTTGCTTCTCCACCCTGGGAGTCCTCCCCCGAGGCCCTAGGTCGCAGGCCTGCCCTGCCCCGAGAGACAGGAAGCACAGAGCCAACCGCACTGCGTCTACCACACCCGAGGCCTCTTCTGGGAAAGACCAGGGCGGGTTTGCAGAAATTTTCTGCTCAGCCGGGAAGACTTTCATTGTCTCATTAAAACCTTAAAAGCCTAAGGTGACTAATGAGTCTGGGAAACACTCCAGTGCTTGAGAGGAGATAAACACAGAATGGTTAATGCCTGCAGGCCTGCTACCTACCCTCCCGTGGGGGAGGAAGGCTGGTTCTCCTCGCCAGTTACAGCAAGCCTTCCAGAGATTCTCTGAAAAGCTTACTGGGTAGGGTCTTGGGAGTCTGGGCTCTGCCCCTAATTCTCCTAGCAGCACCAATTAGCTGGGCAACCTCAAGAAGCGCCCCCAGCCTTATTTTTGGACACTATACCTGCCTTCCCTACCTTACAGGGTTTTAAAGAGGCTTAAACAATACAATAAATGTGAAACCTCTTTGAAAACGATAAAGTTCTATAATTTACACATAGTTATCATAATAACTATGATATTATTAGCAGTCAAGATGTTGCACTAACCACATAGTTAACATATATTTTAAAATTAATATGCTTCGTAAGATGACACATAGTGTACATGGTACATGCATCCTACGCGACCACAATAATAGGCCATGCCTCGATTTTATTATTATTATTACTCTATTATTAGTTTTAATATTTTAGAGTTGGGGAAATAGACTATGCTAGGTTAAATGTCATTTCCCTTCGTTGCTTGGGGGAACGTTGGATTTCTAAATGATGATGTCAACATTGTCTATAGGGACACTTATAAACAAAGACCACCTCTAGAGTGGTGGTCCCCATACAACCCTTTCCTGTCCTGCGTTCAGTAGTCAATAAGGCATTTAGTGCTAACACGTTCTTGCTGAATTCTCGGTGCCTCTGGCTTACCAGTTGATGAGATTCCAGGGATTTTCTGTGCCGCAAGGAAAAGATCGTCTATGGGGTCAACCAAATGCTTGATGTTCATTTTCCTCGCATTGTAGTAATTGCCGTCGGCAGCCCTCCCTGCGCGCTCTATCGCCACCAGGTGGTCGAACCTGCCAGGAAGCAAGAGCAGAGGGTCTCAGGGAGCCTGCGGCTGCCTTGTAGCTCCTAACTTCACGTGTTTGTGTGGAGGACACGTCATTCTTTCCTTGTTTCCTTCATTCCTACAGAACTTGGCCTAACATCTACTATGTGCCAGGGGCTGTGCTGGAGGCTGGTCTATCTGATTGATCATTGTAAGAAATGACATCAGAATCTTTAGCAATTTATCAGGGTCGGAGGCGGTGAGAGTGGAAAGGCCGCGGATGATGCTGGAGCCTGGCCCAGATCTCCATTAACCAGCAGGGGAGCCGGCACCCAGTGGGTTTGAGTGGTGGCTGCTATTGGCCCACCGCTGCCCCCTCCCAGGCTCCTGTTCGGTCTACAGACACACATAGACTAAAAAGGAATTGAAATATTAGACCAATGAATCTACCACAAGAGAAACTTCTTTAGACAGAAAGAGACAGAGAGACAGGGGTAACAGGTGACATGGTGGTGGGAGTGCAGGCCGTGGGATCAGATCACGCTGGTCCTCTTGCCACTGGCCCTGGGTAAGATGTTCAGCCTCTAACCTCATTTTCTGCTCTTTGACGTGACCTAACACCAGTACACCGCGTGGAAAGTGTGAAGTGAGAAAACGCACACGAGGCGCTTAGCATGCAGCACCACACCTACTCAGCGCTCAGGAAGTGAGCGTCGTGGTGTGGTTGTGGTTGTGGTTGTGTTTGCTGCTATTATCAGGAGGGACATATTTTTGGTAATCCAAGTCAACAACATGAAAGTTGTACTTTAAACCTCTCTATGCCCGGCCGGGTGTGGCTCAGCGGTTGAGCGTTGACCTAGGATCCAGGCGATTGGGGTTCAATTTCTGGTCAGGGCACATGCCCGGGTTGTGGGCTCGATCAATGACTCTCTTGTCGTTGATGTTTCTCTCTCTCTCTCTCCCTCTCCTTTCCTCTCTCTGAAATCAATAAAGATATATTTTAAAAAATAAATAAATAAAAAATAAACCTCTCTAAATCCCCTCCCGCTCCATGATGAAGTTCTTCAATATCTTAACTCTGCCCTGGAAAAGTGTGGGGGTTACCCAAAAATTTTAAATAGAATTACCATAGAGTCCAGCAACTCCACATCCAGTATACACCCAAAAGAACTGGAAGCTGGGTGTCGGAGAGGTGTTTACACACCGCATTCCTAGCAGCATGGTTCACAGTAGATGAAAGGCAGAAGCAACCCGAGTGTCCATCAACAAACAAGCAAGCAAAATGTGGTACATATGTGCAATGGAATATTACTCAGCCTTAAAAAGGATGGGGATTCTGACNCAGAAGCAACCCGAGTGTCCATCAACACACAAGCAAGCAAAATGTGGTACATACGTGCAATGGAATATTACTCAGCCTTAAAGAGGATGGGGATTCTGATGCATGTTACAACATGGATGAATCTTGAGGACATTGTGCTAAGTGAAATAAGCCAGTCACAAAAGGACAACCACCATGCAATTCCACTTATGTGAGGTCCCTAGAGCAGTCAGATTTATAGAGACATGACGTGGAATGGTGGATATCAGGGGCTGGGGGTTGGGAAGATAGTGGTTAATGGAGATAGAGTTTCAGCTGGAAAAATGAAAACATTCTAGAGATGGATGGTGGTGATGGCCGCACAGTGTGTATGTCCTTAATGCCACAGAACTGGACCCTTAAAATGGCAAAAATGGTGAATTTTGTGTTATGTGTACTTGACTATAATAAAAAAAATCTTAACTCTGAATGCTTTCTCTGTACATGTTTTTAAAAACAAGTNGGGGTTGGGAAGATAGTGGTTAATGGAGATAGAGTTTCAGCTGGAAAAATGAAAACATTCTAGAGATGGATGGTGGTGATGGCCGCACAGTGTGTATGTCCTTAATGCCACAGAACTGGACCCTTAAAATGGCAAAAATGGTGAATTTTGTGTTACATGTATTTTNCCTTAAAATGGCAAAAATGGTGAATTTTGTGTTATGTGTACTTGACTATAATAAAAAAAATCTTAACTCTGAATGCTTTCTCTGTACATGTTTTTAAAAACAAGTCTTCCGGCCGGTCCACGTCCTTTGGTTGTGCTAGAAGATGGTGGCATCGCACGTGCTGGATGAGCAGACACTGAGAAGGTGCTGGAGCCTAACCCTGGGGCGACGCGCCCAGTGTGGGACAGTGGTGATGGAAATCATTCAGCACAGAGCTCCCGGTGAGACCAGTGCAGACTCCGTTCTGGAAGGGGAGCACTGTGTCTGGACCTTCCCCCAGGGGAACTCAGTGATACACCTGGTAAAGGTAGATTGATTTTTTTTTTTTTTAAGCCAGAAGCGTCCATTTAGCTGCCATGGGAAGGAATTCACTCCTGGGAATCTGCTCCCTGGGAAGGTTAGTGNTAGATTGATTTTTTTTTTAAGCCAGAAGCGTCCATTTAGCTGCCATGGGAAGGAATTCACTCCTGGGAATCTGCTCCCTGGGAAAGTTAGTGCATCTCCTCTAAAAAGAGCAGAATCCCCTCTCCCTGTGATCAGATCTGGTTCATCTCCCTTCATTCAGCAACAAGGGCAACGTCTGTGTCACCAGGTGTCAGGGCCCTGCCCAGGAGGGTTTTCTAGTTCCCCCCGAGGAGCCAGAGCTTTGTGTGTGTGCCAACCATTCAGAGAATATAAACATTTCAGACAGGCACCACACACATTCTTGCAGCTTTAAGCGGCATATCGGATCTGCAATCGAACTTTTCCGTGGTGACTCAGGTCCTCCCTGTGACCGCCTGATTTTTCTGTGAGCTGCATTATTGCTACACCCTGCAGGCCTGTTGCAGCAGTGTTCTTCCATTCTAAGTGGACACCCGTTAGTGGGTTGGTTGTAAGACAGGTTTTTTAGGTCAGGTCAGCATTTTCTGAAAAGTAGATGAAAACAGAGTAGAATAGAACAGAATAGAATATGTCAGAGTACATCGCATGTAGCGAGAGTAAATACTGTTTTTTGAAACTTCTCTTTCAATGATGTGTGTGTGTGCTTTGCAATGCAAAATATATTTCTGTGGATTGTTGTCAAAAAAGTTTGCAAAACACAGTACTAAAATTTATAAGGTTTGGAATACATCATATATACAAAAAAGAAGTGTTTTTCAAAACACACATTAAAAAATACATGCGCACATAACAAACAGTAAAAAATACACACACACACACCAAGTTTCACAAGCNTATACAAAAAAGAAGTGTTTTTCAAAACACACATTAAAAAATACACACATGCGCACATAACAAACAGTAAAAAATACACACACACATACACCAAGTTTCACAAGTGAGTCCTCGCTATTACCATACAAGACATACAGTGACATTTCTGTTTCATTTGGCAAAGGTGCTGGTCTTTCCCCCCCGCCCCCGCCCCCAATGAAATGACTTCGCTACTCTCCAATGGAGCATTAGCCAGTTTGAGAAATGGCTTTTTGTTTTTTTATCATCTTCTTCCCCCTCTATCAAGAAGACACGTCATCTCTCAGGGACCTGCTACTTCGAGAGGCCCTCTGAGAAGCCCCCAGGGCACCCGAACCCCGGCACTGCTTGCTCGCCCGGCCCGTGGAGCCCGTGGCTCACGGCTCCGTTCTCTCCCGAGGGCTGGTGTGGGCAGGAACATAGTTGTCCAAGTTAACACCACGTGGGCTTTCCCACCATCACCCACTTTACACTGGGAGGGGACATACATACCTAGGAGACTTGGGGTCCCTCTCATTGCAGAGAAATGCCTGAGCAGCTCCTGCTGGCCCCTCTTGGTAAGTCAGTATCGGGATCGGGGTCTTCAGGACACCTTGAAAAGAGAGGTAAAGAGTGGCCACAGCAGCCCGGTGTGGATTCTGGGAATTTATGTTGGCTTTTCGAACCCTTCTTTGGAAATGATCATCTCCATTATCGAACCACATTTACCTGTAGAAAACTCTGTTAGTTAAGCCGAGGCCTCAATCCAGGGGATACTTAAGTTTATTTGCTTTAGTCCTGAGTAAGCTCTAACGTGGAGGGTGAGGTGAAACAGGGCTGGTGTCACCAATATTGTGGGCTAGCAAATATGCTCCCCACAGATGTCACAACACCACGTCGGTGACAGTGAGCCAGCCCTTTGCTAAGCATGTGACATGCATGCTCTAATTTAATTTTCACAGTTCTGTGTGATAAGAACCATTGTGATGCCCATTTTACAGAGGAGGAAAACTGAGGCTCAGACATACTAAATCACTTGGGCAAAACCAAGTATGTAGGTCGGTGTCACAGGACCAGTTCCCACCCAAACAGGCAGCCTAACAGAGCAGGGAACATAACCCAGCCCCAATGGGCTCACATGGTGGGCAAAGCCTCAGGAAAGGAAGGTCGAGGCAGGATGAGACCTCGCACCTGAGCTACAAAGAGCCCACTTATCAACATGGTCGATTTATACTGAAAACGAGGAAGGGACTCAGCCTTTCTTCTTTAAACATTTCCTAGGCTTCCATTATAAAAAGAACTGGAATCGTTTTCACTGAAAGGTCACANTTAAACATTTCCTAGGCTTCCATTATAAAAAGAACTGGAATCGTTTTCACTGAATCGTTTCACTTTTATTTTCCCGGTGCACGTGTAACGAAAGTTCTGTAAAATCCGACAGCAAATCGCACCCTCTAAGCCACTGTGTGGACGAGCCCAGGTCTGAGCTCAAGGTCAACTTCAGCCCCTGAGCCCAGCGGCCAGGTGAGCAGGAGGGCAGGGCGGCTTCTGGGAAAGTGGGGGGGAGAAAATACCCACCAAACCAGTTCCTAGTTGTCCCCGTGGCTGGCCCTTCTCCTTGATGACAACACGGTCCCTTGGTTTCCCTCCTTCCTCGGTGCTCCTTCTCCCTGCTAACTCCTCTCCTTCCCTTCGACCTCTCAATGTGGGGCGCCCCAGGGTGCCACCCAGGGTCCTTTCCTCTGTCTCCTCTTATTTCCTCAGTGATCTCATCCAGTGTCTTGAGTTTAAAGCCATCAATATGCCAACCACTGTCCAATTTCTCTTTCCAGCCCAGACTGCTCCCTGAACTTGACTCGTAGCCCTAACTGCCTGCTTGACTTCTCCGCGTGCGTGTCTGGGTCTGGTAGGTGTCTCACACTTTGTCACCCAGGCTCCAACCTGCACTCCTGTAACTTATAATTGTGCTAAAACACACATCACGTGAAGTTTCCCGCCTGACCCATTTTTGAGTGTACGGTTCTCTAGCATGAAGTTCATTCATGTCGTTGCTTGAGTGTCATCGCCACCCATCTCTAGAACTTTTACACCTTCCCAACCTGAAACTCTGTACCCCTTAAATACTAACCCCACGGCCCCTCCCCACAGCCCCTGGCAACCACTATTCTACTCTTTTGTCCCTATTATTTTAATTACTCTGGGGACCTCAAGTAAGTGGAATCACACAGTGTTTGTCCTTTTGTGTCCGGCTTATTTCACTTAGCACGATGTCTTCAAGGTTCATCATGTTGGAGCAGGTGCCAGGATTTCCTTCCTTTCGAGGACTGAATGATATTCTGTGGCGTGGATCCACCACATGCCGTTCACCCATTCGTTCCCTGACGGACACCGGGGTGCTTGCACCTCTTGCCTATTGTGAATACTGCTGCTATATGGGTGTGCAAATATCTGTCTGAGGCTGTTTTCAATTTTTTGGGGGGGAGAGGGGTATACACCCAGAAGTGAAATTGCTGAATCATATAGATATTTTCTATTTTTAATTTTTTTTAGGAATCACCATATGACTTTCCACAGGGGCTGCACCATTTTACATTGTCACCAACAGTGCACGGGGGTCGGCCTGCTCCACCCACTGTCTCCCTCATCCCAGTTCACAGCAGCTCCACCCCATCCGACACCCTGCCAAATCCTCAGAGCAACCCCTGATTCTTCCACCTCACACCGAAGCCAATCCAGCGGGGAATCAAGACTCTACCTTCAAAACACCAACTGTTCTGGCTACTGCTCACAACCTCCACCTGCACCATTCATCTGTCTGGAATCCCCAGAAATCAGAGCCTGAGACAAAGACTTGGGTGCAGGCAGTTTACTTGGGAGACGATCCCAAGAGGCGGGTGGGAGGGAACAGGAAAGGAGGGGAAGGAGAAGCCAACAGGAGGGTATGTGCATTCTCAAGGTCTCTGCTCTAGGCAATGGGGTCCTTGGTTCCATCGGGACCTGTGTGTCTCCAAAAGACAGGAGGCAGGGCACTAGCTCCCATCCCTTACTGGTTGAGCCCCCCAAAAGTTATTAGCCCCCACACTTCCGGACTGATGATTTGTCACAGTTTTGGAGAAACCCTGCAGAACACTTGGCTGTGGTGGGGCTGGTCAGGTCAGTGTGACTCAGAACTTCCATTCTAGCTACAGTTGAAACCACAAGGGGGCCAGAGGGACTTGCCACAGGGCACCACCCACTCCAAGCCGCCCTTGCCTCCCACCTGCAATAACCTGGTCAGTTCCCTGTTTCTACCCTTGTCCCTATAGTTACCCAGGTGGTCCTTTAAAACCTAAGCCAGAACATGGCCCTTCACTGCTCAATGTCCTCAAGGGTTCCCGTCCCACACAGAATAAAAGGCGACGTGCTCACAGTTCCCCAAGGCCCTTCCCAGTCTGTGCCCTATGACTTCTCTGTCCCCCTACCCAGTTTTTCCTCTCTTCATCCCCTCCAGGCCAGTCACTGACCACTGTCCTCTCTTAAACTCCACCTAATGGCCTCTGTCCTGGCCAAGGTCACAGCCTGGGACATTTTTCCTCTAGCCAGCCCCAGCCTCACTCCATCAGCTTCAAGTCTTGGCTCCAATGGCACCTTCTCCACGAAGCCTTGTCTGACCATCCCGTTTAAAACAGCAGCCTACCACCTGGGCCATGTACACGTCCCTCTTTTCCTATGTTGTTTACTGTCTGTCACAGTCCAGTAGAATATACGCACCAGGAGGGTGGGATTGTTATCAGTTTTGTTCACCGATGAATCTCAAGAGCCCAGAATAGTGCCTGGCACATAGTAGGTGCTCAATATATATTTGTTGCATGATACGGATTCTGTATGGTCAGACACAACCTTTTTGAAACTTCTCAAGTAAGGAGGGCTTTAGGGCATGCCTTCCTGGGGTTGGAACTCTTTTTAGAAGCTAAAAGGAAAAAATATCTCCTGAAGAATGCATGTTGACGGGCACAGAGAGACAGGCAGTGGGAAGCGGGTGAGATTCACCAGGCTGCCAGCTTAGGCCTGAGCAGCGCCTGCGGAACGGAGGAGAGGTGAGGCGCCCGAGACTGACCTCGGCATCCTAGCCTTGCCCGCCATCGCTCACAGCTCTAATGCCCACCCGGGAGTCTGGGAACCTGAGCAGCAGGGGCGTCCCTTCCCGTCTGCGCCAGATGAGACGCTGCTGTCTGAGCCTCTTGACCACTTTATTCTCGACTATCCCACCCCCAAAGCCAGGAGTCCAGGGATGTCCTGGATTGCCAAGAGCCCTCCGAAGGTCACCCCCACCTTTCATAGGGAGGGCATCAGGTACACGGACTCCGAGATCTGATAGGCCTGGGTTCAAATTCCAGATCACCATTCCCACCTCAGTAAATTACCTGGGCCTCTCAGAGCCTCAGACTCTTCCTCTATAAAAGGGGGATAATGTTGCTTATACCAAAGAGTTGTTCTGAGCAAAAGGACTTGAAATGCCCATGTCAAGTGCATGGCAGGAGGCCCACAAACACGGACTCCTTCCATCTAGCTGCTCACCTTGCTCAACAGCTTCTGCAACAAGCTTCTTGAACAAACTCAAGGCTCTCTGGTCAACGATCAGGGAGACGCCTTTCTCCAAGGCCTGCAGGAAGGCGGCCAGAGCAATGGCTCCTGGTGGGCCGTCCGTCTCTTCCGGAGGCTCGTGGTTGAAATGCGTGGGGAACCCAGTGGTGATGAGCACTGAGTAGGCGTGGGACAGCGACAGAGAGGCCCTCAGCAGCTCATCTTTGCGGAGCAGGTGCCCGATCCCCCTGTTGCCTAAAATTACAAATAAAGTAAAATAAAATAAAATCATAAAGTAACATAATTGTGTTTCAAGTAGAAACTTATGTAAACAGTAGTTTCGTTTTTCTGTCTGTTTCAGAGGTGGATTTGAGGGACGTGCCAAGGCTGCTAACCGTTCCCCAGAATGTATCCTTCCCTCTCCCCTGCCCCCACTAGAGAAGGGTAGCCGGGTAAATGGCTGAGAGCCTCCCTTTCGGTTAGCGGTGGCCACAGACTAGGTTCTCTCCAGATAACAATCCTAGGCTGGTTGAAAGGGAGTAAGAGTAGGAGTGATGTGCGCCACCTCCTGGCCACATACCTCCCATGCACTCCTCCAAGCTCTTCCCTTTTTGGGGGCTGGGATGTTGACAACCGGCGCCCCCTGGAGGTCTCATGATGGGTCCCTGAGTGACTGGGTGGAGCAGATCCCCCTTCCTGCTGAACTAGGACAGTCACCCTGGAAGCCCTAACCTGGACTGTTGCGTGAGAGGCATGTATTTCTATTTTATTTGAGCAAAGCATCTTGGGGTTTGTAATGCAAATCCCAATACAAGGAACAAAGGAGGGGGAAGGGACACAGTACTGTCTTAGTTGGGGATTCCCTAAAATGAAGACCCTAAGACAAGGGCTTGGGTGCAGGTATTTCTGTAGAAAGTGAGCCCAGGAAACAAGTGAGAAGGTGGAAGAGGTGACGTAACACGGGAAAGGGAGAGGAGCCACTGAAGAACGTATGAGTGAGCAGATTAACCCTGAAGGCATCTAGGGCTCAACCCTGCTTATGGTCCTGTAAGAAATGGTGTGGGGCACATCTGAGGACTGTCCTTCCAGAGGACAGGGGGACTGGGCATTTCTGCACTGGCTCCTGTCCCCTGTTGGGTGAAGGTTGCCCATCGGGACATTGACCCCTCGGCAGTCCTGGGCTGTGCCTGCTCTGGTGGAGGAGCAGAGAGACCCCAGCCTAAGGTGGGAGTTATTGTTCTGGGAACTGCCCACTGCAGCTGTGGTTTGGGCAGGGCCCCAGCAGCATCTGCTGTAGCTGCCGCAGTGGCTGCCAAGCCAGTCCCAGCCAGGCAGCACAGCCTTCCGACCCTCGTCACATGCCATTGTGCCTTTGTCTATACTCGGGTCGCCTCAGAGCTGTGCCATGTGAAGCAGGATGTGACTCAGAACTTCCATCCCAGCTGTGGCTGAAATGAAAGGTGGGCCTAAGGGACGTGAGAGGATGTCAGCTTGCATTTGAGGTGCCTAGAGACTGAAGGAACACGGGGTTTGGATTCCTGTTACGGAGGAAAAGTTCCAGATTTAGAATCTGGAAACTGACATTTGAGTCCAAGTGTTGGCACATCGTAGCTGTGTGACCTCGGCCTCGTCCTGGATTGGTCTGAACCTCAGTGTTCCTCCACGGAGCATGGGGGTGGGCCGGGTGGGGGAAGGTTGAGGGGAAATGGCCCCCCACACTGGTGGTGGGAGTGGGAACTAGAATACTTGTCTGGGGGTGATTGGGACCTTACATCTGTCCACTTGAGCCAGCAATCACTTCTGGGAACGTAACCTAATAAAGTGCTCATGGAACAAACATAGTCATAAGGATGTTCACTGCAGCATTGTTTATGGTGTCAATTAGGAAAGTAATAACATTGGTGGAACGTTTGTAAAGTGGAATTCTAATGCAAACATTAAAAAGATTATTGTAGAAGGTGAATGACATGGAAAATGTCCACAGTGTACTAAAAAGTTAAAAAAGTTTGTAAAGTGGAATTCTAATGCAAACATTAAAAAGATTGTTGTAGAAGGTGAATGACATGGAAAATGTCCACAGTGTACTAAAAAGTTAAAAAAGCAGGTCCTAAAATAGTATCACGGCTTGATTCACATATATATAGACATTGTTTTTGTTTGTTTCAGTCTTATTGGCTTAAGACTGAAGAAAAAGACATTAAGGGCCAACATGAAACTGTTAACAATGGTTAACTGGGATGGGACCCGGGCATTTTTATTGCCTCTCTACTTTCATATATTTATACAATGAACATGAGTTGCTGCTGATAAGAGGGGAGGAAAATAACATCTTGAAAGAAAACAATAGGACTATAACCTGTTTCATAGGATGCGGTGAGCCCCGAGAGAGAGGAGGAGGACTCTGTCAACTTTAAAATGGTCTGTACACTTGTGATGACTTTATTATTAGTGTGACCATCAATATCATGTCACCTTGACTTCAGAATCTCCAGGCACCTCAAATGCGAGCCAACGTCCTCTCAGAAATGACTGAGTGGCTCTATTATTACGCCCAGTGAGCAGTGCTCAGTCCATTGCCATTCATCTCATATCTGTTTATTTAATGTAGTAGGAATGAAGAGCAGCTGGTGTTCTGAAGGATGAAAGATGGTCCTTAACAGATGATACTGGCAAATCCAGACAGTCATAAATCTGCCCTTCTCTGAGCCTCAGGCTTCAAGCCCTGACACCCACTCTGCACAGTCACCAAAGCGGGTGCTGTGGACAACCTCCCAGGTCATTTTTATTAAGCCATGGGTGCACTGCGCCTGCAGTAAATTTACTTTGCAGTTACTTTTTTTATCTGAGTTAATGGCAGAGTCATTCATTCATCTTCCCTCATGATCCGTATGCTCAGTCAGAGAGCTGTCAACGTGAGTAAGAATGTTTGTGGGAAAGTATTACGGAAATTTTTTTTAAATATCCCTCAAGGAAATCAACTATGTAAGAGTCTAGGCATGCACAGCCATGGACATTCACCTCGGTTCATTCGTATGTCCTAAAAGGTGCATGGGGGGGGCTGTGTCCCACAATTACTCTGTGTCTGTATGTTAAGAGGATCACATTCCCTGCAGAATAAATGAATGAATGAATGAATGAAAGATCTGAGACAAACAAATAGGCAAAAAGCTATGCCCTACGGTTTCACAGGACCTTTTGTTACTGTAATTGGGGGGCAACCTTTGCTCCTGGGTCCAGGGGAAAGATCAGGCATTTTTCAGGCTGGTCTGCACTGTCGGATCCTGGGCCACAGTTAGCCAACATGAAAGGGCACCCAGACTGTCTGACCAATGGCCCTGCTCAGGCACTGTTCTCTACCCCAGTGTCACCATGATCACCTGTGTCTGGGTCTCAGGAGTCTGGCCTGGACGGTTGACCTCCCCAGGTTGGTCTCACTCCTCTGCTCTCCACAGGGGCCCCACCACCATCGATCCAGGTATCTGCTTGGGGAACAGGCGTCACGTGGGCCAGCAGGGAGGCCACATATGCCGTCTTCAGACAGTCAAAGCGCAAATAACAACCAGGTCTAGAAACACAGCCCATGAGAAGGGGCAGGAGGGGGAACTGGGTGTGAGTCAGGAGAGGTTGGAGCCTTGGGAGTCAGTGGGTGTGGGTTCAAGTTCTGCCCAACCATCTACTTCCATCTACTAATGTATGTGGATTTGGGCAAGTTTCTTAACCTTATATGCCTCAGTTTCCTCATCTGTTAAAGGAAGTTAATTAATAATAGCTGCCTCGTGGGGTTATTGGGAGAATTTAATAAGATGAAACATGTAAATGCTTTTAGCATATGCCTGGCCCAGACAGAGTAAAACTCAGTAAATAAGAGCTATTATTCTCATTACCCGTCAGAGCTCTGAGTGGGAGGTGTAATTGTTATTACCCCTGTTATACAGATGAGGAAACTGAGGTGGAGAGTGGCTGTGAAGTCTACACTTTACTTCTCCTTGAGCCTTTATCAGAAAAAAAATAAAACAGCCTGGCCGGGCGTGGCTCAGCGGTTGAGCGTGGGCCTAGGATCCAGGTGATCGGGGTTCGATTCCCGGTCAGGGCACATGCCCAGGTTGCGGGCTTGACCAGTGACTCTCGTCATTGATGTTTCTGTCTCTCTCTCCCTCTCCTTTCCTCTCTCTGAAATCGATAAAGATATATTATTTTTTTTAAAAAAAGAAAGAAAACAGAAAAACCCCAAACTACCTTGCACAATGGCACCCTCTGCTGGCCACTGGGATTAGAAATTCGGCTTTTAAATGAAGATCCAGGGAAAGCTGAAAGCCCCTCAACCAGCTTTCAGGAAACCTTCTCTTAATTGGAACCGGTAGGCCCCTCGTGGGCCCCATCAGCCCTGTCCTTGTCTAGAAAGCCAGAGGCTCACGAACAACAGAAGGGCTGTCTTTTCTCTGAGACACAATTGCAATATACATGTTGGCTGCAAATGGCTGTGAGGCAAAATGCAGGGTCCTGCCCACCAGGGTCCCCCAAGGGGTAGCAACTCAGCCCCTGCCCCTGCCCCTGTGGCCTGATACAAAAAAAATCTGTTCTACGCCCAACCCCAGGGCAATGGCACCAAAGGGGAAGATTAGGCCACTGTTAAGTACATGGTGCTGTTTAAACAGTGGCACTTCCCTTTTTCTTACCTCGCCAACCCCAGTTTAGTTCTGGCAACGTGCCCAGCTAATAAGCTCGCCTCCCAAACTCCCTCACATGTTTAATGTTGAACATTTTTGGGGGGGGGGAAAGAAGAAAAAAATCACCCATAATTCCACTACCCAGAGATCATCACCATCGGTATTTTGCCGCATTTACTTCCACGATTTTTGGGATTCATATACAGCATAACCATTTTTTTAAAATCTTACTGTAGATGAAATTTTATGCTGCCTTTCCCACTGAGCATCCCATCGGTGATGAATCTCTCCAGGCCCTGACGGCGTAGATGCTGTTTCTTACCTGGGTCCACGGCAATTATAGCCTCTAGCTCTCTGATCTTCTGCACGGCTGAAGCTGACGTGATGCTGTAGTGCAGGGGGTCTTGGGAAATGGGATGGACCTCTGGGGTTCCCTCAGGGGTGAGGCGAGGGGCTGGAGCCTCCAAATCCTTCAGGTCAGTCAAAACCGTGCAACCCGGGGCACTGGTGAAAGCCAGGGGGGTCTCTGAAACACACAGCAAGAGGGATGAGCCCGCAGGTTGACGAACAGACTTCATCAAGCCCGGTCCACTCTGGCCCAGCCCGCCGTCGGGGGGCACGGTGGAGCCACGCACCCCCTCTGCCATCAGCACTCCTTACACCCTCTGTTAGCACCATATGCTGACTTACGGCTGAATCGAGTTCCACTTAACCAGGTGCCTCCAATTTTGGGGAGAGTGAAGACGAGGCGAGCGTGGGAGGAGTGAGGGGCAGCCAGGGCTACAGCTGGGCCCCGGGGTCCCGTCGCCTTAACCCATGGACATCAGAAAGCACTCACTGAGCTCCTGTGAGCATGAAGCCGTATTGCTTCCGCTGCAGCAAATGTTAGGTTTGCTAACAGCTCTCCCTGCGCGTAGCTTGTTTTTCTCCCAGCACTTACATTTTGCTTTGGTTTGTGTTCACGTCTCTGCCCTGCTGGATGACGGCCATGGGAGGCCCTCTAGCAGGGTTGTTAAGAACATGACTTTGGCATGGCAAACACACTGGAGTCTCAGATGCAACTTTATTCTCTCAAAACCTGCATCTGCAGCTATAAAATAATGTCAGTGCGTCATGCGCTTGCCAGAGCGAAATTGGAAAATGTGCATGAAAGCGTTTAGCAACGAGCCTGGCCCAGCACGAGCCCCCGATAAATGACGGTTTGCTTCTTGAACCAGGCGCTGCATCCTGCTCATTCTGCGTCCTTGCGCCTGGCCTGGTGGGTGCTTAGTGCTTACCATACTTAGCTTGCATCCTGCTTTCTGCAGGGTCTTCCTATCCTGGGGCACCCTCACCCTGCTCAGCTGTGCGCTCCCGGAGACGAGGGACTGTTACTACTCATCCCAGGAGCCCATGTCATGCCTCACATGTAAAAGGTGCTCAGCCAGTGGAAATGTGAACTGAGTAAATAAGGTCTTGGATTTCGCAGAAAACATTACAATGACTCAGATCTAACAGAGAGCCACAGTCCGCCGACACTCCGGGAGGAAAGCCGACTGACAGGTGCATAAGTCATCCTAACTGAGCTTTTAGACACGATGCTTAAGGAGATGAACTAGAGGTTTCTGGGTTTTGGACAGCTCCTACAAGGGGCCACTCGAAGGCCAGGTACACTCAGAGCAGTCAGCTTGGAGTGTGACACGGGGCTGCCCCATCAGCCGTGAGGGTACCGCAATTCATCTACGGCTAATAGAAGTTTAACTATTAAAGTGTGAGCATGATTTTTGTAAATTAGAAAGTTTCAAGGTTATCTCTGACCAATAATGTTCTTTGTTCTCATTTATGATCAAATACACGATCACAAGTCAGAGCCAAAGGGCTGGAGTGTGCAGGGATGCCCAGGGCAGCGAGGCCCCTGCTGCGGGGCAGCCCCCACGGCCATGGCGGGAGAGGGGCAAGGCCACCGTGCTGGAGGGTATTTACCGAGTAAGTGCGGGGGGTGCACACGTGAGCACGCACACTTGGAAATGACCACAAGCTCCCTGAGAACTGCATCTTGTCTGATGCAGCATTTTATTCCTAAGATCTGGGCCCATGCTTGGCACATAGCAGGTGCCCAATACATTTATGTTAAATAAACAGAATCCCATGGCCTTGGGGTTTACGCCTCGTCGGCATATTAGAGATACCTTTTCCTAGCATGAGGCCGTTCCAGTAGCAGAAGTCCCATGAATGCTTTCAAATAAATTGAAAGTGACACATAATTTTATGATTCATAGTGTAAGTGTGTCAGACACTAGAATCTTCCAGTGTCTACAACAATGGGCAGCAACAGTTATTATTATTTTCTAATAATTTTTTTTTAATGTTTCTCTCACATCCCACCCTCACTGTGAGCTCGTTAGGGCCCTCATGTGTCTCTTCACTGTAATCTCACTCTGGGCCTCTGAGAAACTGAATTGACAATGCTGCTTGCAAACACCATGTGGAATGATGTGTTTAGTTGTGTTGCTTGTTTTTCACCTTTGCATCAACCCTCAAAATGTCTCTAAAAGTCACTCTAAATGTTGGCCCTTAGAATGGGCTATGAGGCTTCTGTGGAGAGAAATATATTTAATCAAGATGTATTTGAGCTGAAGGACAGGCTGCTCTGGTGGGACCCACCCCTGGGATTAAAAAAAAAAAAAAAAAGCCAGCGATCTCTTCGCTGTGGGCTGTAGGTCTGTGTTACATGACTTTATTCCTTAAGTGACTGCACCGGAAGCCTATTCTTTTAAGACCCACCAGGTTCCACCCTAGGTAGGAGGAATCGCCCTTTGAAGCCCAGATGTACGTACTGTAGCCGCTGACAGCTTCGAGACTGGTCAGCTGAGAAGGCCAGAACACCGGGACGTCCCCCGGCTGACACGGCACAGGATCCCCGTAGTCCGGTTTGGAGAGATCTTTGATCCCCAGCAGTTCTGCAGAGGGAACAGGAAAATTAATTGCACCGGGCCCGGCACAGGCAGCTCCATTGGAGTTGAGCACGCTGAGAAGTGCATGGTTTCCTCTCCAAGAGGGACTCTAGTCACGGGACTGCTGTAGACAGCACTGGAGAAGGGTGGGGAGGAGAAATGGAGTCGGGACCTAACAACTCAGGATGCTCGCTGACTTCTAGTCCGCTTGGATACCGACTCTCCAAGCCCTGGTGTGACTGTGGAGGAGTCTTGGGTACATCAGCCCAACATCTCCATTGTACAGATTGCTAACATTTACAGTGTTTCTGATTTTATCTGGGTACAGACTGAGTCACATAATGCAGACCTAAATCCTGCTGCTTGACCACCAACAGTGTCCCTACCCCTGGCGGGCCACAGAGTGTTCACAAGGACAGCAAAGATGGGTGTGACTCATGAGAAAAATCAGCGGACACTTTGCTTTGTGAGATCACTGTTCTGGGAGAAAGGTGGCAAGTGCTGATTGCATTTTTGCAGGATGGCTGTGCCTGACTTTGTCTGTTGCACAGCTGAGCAAGTTCGATGACGCTAATGCTCACTCACACCCAAGGCCCCATCCCAAGCTCCCACCAGGCCCTCTGAGAGCCTCCGACAGGCCTGGGCAGCTTCCACTCTTGGATCTTCTCACTCACTCTCAGATTTTTTTTTTTCCTCACTCTCAGATTGAGTTCAAATGCTGGGTATCAATGGATTTCAGTTCAGGTTAATATTTGGAACAAAGCCATGTCCTACCCAAATATGCTGCTGAACAACTGCCTAGATTAGAGGCTGCTCTGAGTGAGCTCAAATCTCAAGACAAACAGCTCTGCTGCCAGGCTCCACCACCTGCTTCCTCCACCCCAGGTTCACCTGAGGTTCACAGGAACTCTTCTGCCAAGGGCAGCACCTTTAACCTGAGGGGAATCTATAAGCCAGCACAGTTAATCCAGCTGAGGGAGGGCAAGCTACGGCAGCTCAGGAACATAGCAAGTTCCCGTCTTCTCGGGGCCGAAGTCCAAGAGCAGCTCTCAGAATCACGGACGAGCGTGGGCACTGACCTGGGTCGCCGATGTGAATGGGTCGTCCTTGCTCACCCATCACGGAGCAGCTGGCCTGCACCAGCCTTTCCAGCTTGTCCTTGGGGACGGGCCTCATGGTGACCACCAGAGGGCAGCCAAAGCCAGCGATGGTGGCGCAAGGCACTGTTGTCTGCCAAGAAATCAAGTTAAAATAAAAGGTTAAAAAACAGAATTAGCACAGATTGGAGCCCTGAGTACCAAGAGCTCAAGGCAGTAAAGGAAGGAGGTAGGAGCTCTTGTAAAAATATAGCCTCTACTCTCACGGACCCCTTCGGTAGTCTTAATGTTTTCAACCACGTGAAAGCAAACGCACAGGATTATAAGGGAAACCAATTATACGGCAAACGCTGTTATCAAATTATGGAAAAATGTGATACAGCAATATGTATGTTTCTTCATTAACAGATTAAAGAACAAGACAGAGCTACCACTATAATTCTGAAGTCGTGATCGACATACGGGGTATTTCTGAGATATCCGGGGGAACTGGAATGTGACTTGAAAATGTCTGTGGTTCCTCTGGGCAGCCACAGAGTCGCTGGGTCGGCTGATACAGCTGCAGTCTGTGGCCCAAATTCGTAATCAAAGGACATGCTCAGTGCCAGTTTGAGGCTCTGAAAATAAAATTATGATTTTTCTTTCCATCCTGTCTCGTGGACCTTCTGAATTTTCTCCATGGGCCTCAAGTGGCCAGTGGACCACAGGTGAAACCTCTGGGGAAATCGGGGCAGAGGAACCAAAGGGCGCAGGAGGCACTGGGGTCTCCTGGGCTTCCTGAGCCCACACAGGGGAGGGGCTTGTGCCCGGCCCCCTGTGGGCCCTGCCTCACTCTCCTTTGGCAGTAGAAGTGGCCCAGGATGACCCCTGTGACTCACTGGGGGTGTGTTTTTCCCCCTGAATGGTTTCTGGCCCCTGCACTGGGGCTTATGAAGGATTTAGGACATGGCCAGGATGATAATCTGCTGGGGCGGGCTTGGCAGCGCCTGAAGGGCTTGCTATTAGCACCCTGGCGGCAGCCAGATGAAACCTTGGTGCACCTGCCAGTTCGGGGTCTGAATAACAGCACCTGGAAGAGGGCGCATGCCAGGGGCACTCTCAGGAGGCAGGCAGCGATCCCCGAGGCTCGGCGCCTCCTTCTCAGGGTGTGCTTCATCCCCTCGAGGCGGCCAACTGATTCCCAGGTGACTGCCTGGCCCTTTCTCTCAGAAGCCAAGGAGCAGAGGCATCGTTTGGTATTAAACTTAAAGCTATTTGGTAACCACGGGGGGG